TGCTTACTAATTTAAAAGTTATAGCATGAAAACTATAACAAACACAAAATGTTTAGGAGGTCGGTCCCATGGACCCAGCCTGGGGTGAAAGAGTTAAGAGATTTAAGTAAGATCTAAATCCATAGCCTAAGCTAACATGCAAAATAAAATTTAGATAATGTATTTATTAACCCTTGTTCTGCATTGTGTCATAGGAGCTACAGCATGATATCTGTGGCATATGCTAACCTTCTTTCCCTATATTTCTGTACTGATGTAGCTGCCATGGCAATGCATATAATGCATCTTGTGGGAATTCCCAAATTTTCTACTTATTATATATTGTGTAGATCATATGTCAAAAAAATTATACGATTAACACATCTTCAACAGGATACCATGCTTTGACAGAAGTTTGGGGATAATCCTGGAGCTTTTCTGACATTCACTGCTTGACTTCTGCAGCTGTATAGGTATATGGCATGATAAATAGGATCAGTCGTGCTTTCGCTTGTACAGGAGCAGACATATCAAAGCAGTAATGTTGGAAAATCCTTGAGATTTAATCTAAATAAGTTTGAATACTGGATGCCTAAAAATGTGCAATACATGTACATAATGTAATGATATAAATAGTGCCTAGATCACTACTGTGTCTGTAATAACCTGCTAACCCTGGTATTAATCAAAAAGTCATGTCAGTACTAAGTATAGTAGATGTAGCGTGTTTTACATATTATTACATATTCTTTTTTGCTTTTACTTGTAAGTTCTTAGAACATGTTAAGATGAGTAAATTAAACAACTGATAGCAATTGGCTTAAAAATATTATTCAAGCAATTTTTGAGTACTCCAAAAAGATGAACGAATCTGATTTCATATAACAAAGGATTTTGCAATGAAATCGTAAACAAACTGTTTAAGTGGATATGAAACTATGTAGCAAAATTCACAACATAATAGCATAGTAAACAGAACATTATTTTCTGCACTTGGAATAAACACTACTGCTACATTGAGGGGCTTGAACATTTTAATTAATAATGTTGATGAAACTAACATTAAAAAATGAAAAGACCTAACTTACAAAACACACACAAAACTAGTTGTTTACTTGATATCAAAGCATCTGACAACAAGAGGCTGCTTTTATGACGATTAACTTTTACTAAACCGTATAACTGAGAGAAAGAAGAATGTGCAAGGGCAGATCCTTAAGGTTGAATAACATAAATGTAATTAAACATGTTTTGTTATTGTTTTTAAAATTTAATAATTTCTTAGAAAATACTCGTAAAATTTCATTCTCTTAATATGTGTTACTCAACTGGTGTACTCTGGTTTGTTAGCTGTAAATGTATTTCCAAATTTTGAAGATATTTTATACAAGACTGAAGTATAAACTTTACAGTGTTCTGAATCAGCTTATACAGTATATCTAGATGAAAGTTATAAAGAAATATTTGTTGTAAAATTCTTATCAATGCTATAAGTGTAGCTACCAGTTTGGCTGCCAGTTTTAATTTCATTCCTTTAAGTTTTGCACTCAAACATTTTTGGCCACACCTTTTTTTTTTATTAGATATCATGTCTTTTTGTTAATACCACAGCAAGTAAGAAAGTGACACTTGATAGTAACCCACATTAGCTTTAGGATAGCAACCCTATTATTTGGAACAAATCTATACTTCACAGAACCAAACAGATTCTTTAAGATATATGGTGGTACCTTTTCCTCTCTAAAACAGTGTTAATACCTTCATTTATAGTAATGCAATGGAATTTAGATTAACAGTTTCTTGTTGTCACCCCCATGCAATCGGTACAGCCATATCAAGCATCATTATTTATGCTAATTCCTTAAGGTAGTATCGTGTGATGCTAAACACTCTAATCAGGATAATTTCATAAAATTTAATAAATTTGTGCTAAAAAGTTAGCAATGAATAATCAATAATAACCGTTCACCCATATGATTCTTGGGAAAACTTGAGCTAGAAACTGCTAATCTAGTTTGCTTGGCCTAATGAGTACTTGTGTATCTGCATATTCTTTCACCTTATGGTTTTGCTGCTCTAAATCAGATGTCTGTAATCAGAATGACAATAAACTACAAACAGTCCACTTTTACTCTTAGTTGAAGCTTTAGTAAAAATGTTAGACCAATAGCTCATGTGACTTTTAGCATAAGCGTGCTCAAAACTTTTGATCAAATTTAAGTTGAATAACTTTACACGTGGCTAATATTTACACCAAATGAAACTCCTAATTGTAACTTGTAAATATCTGTCACTGTACCAAATATGAGTTAAGTATGTTTTTCTATCAAATAAAGTTTCCATACTTTTTGGTGCAAAAAAAAAAAAAGAAGAAACTCAATCAAAATTGGGAATATTACATCTCGGGTATTTCTGAATGGATTGATTTGAAGTTTGGTATGTGAAGTAAGAGTCCAGTATGGCACATCCACTGAAAATATGTGATAATTTGGATTACCACAGTTCGAGATACAGAAGGTGGAAAATTGTTAAACTATCACTCCTGTTAATAACACTATGTGTCCTGCAGCAGGTTGTTTTGGCCACACAACACACTGTTGTGTGTCTTGATAAAAGTGTTTTAATTGTATTCTAATTAGAATCTAGCTTGATTAGTTTCCTACACGAGGCTTCTTGTAGGAAGAACAAGGTATGTGGCAATTAGCAGTTAAATTCTGCCTTAGAGGATGTTCAATAATGAAATATTATCACAAGTGAAAACATTATTAAAACCTTTATCTTGTTGTTTTTTTTTTCTTCAGTTGCTACTTTTTTATTTTATTTTTGTGTACTTTGGTTATTTTGTGTGTTTCATCTTTGTTATTTTTCACATATATTACCTTTTTATTTTATATTACTTTGTCGTTTCCTGCACTTTTTTTTTCATAGTCTATTTTGGTTACATTTTGTACATATTGTTTAGTTAATTCAGCATTAGGTCTAAATTTGTTAAAGGATGCATATTAGAAACTACTTCATCTAAGTATTTTCAATCATTATTTTTAGGTACTCATAACCTCACCCAGCTGGAACAGTTGCAAAAAGCAGCTGAAGAAAGAGCAGCAATCGTTGCCAAATATGACTATGGTCGAGAAAAGGGGGCCCAGATTGATTCTTGGGAAGATCCAGCATTTGAAGTATACCATGTCACTGATCGTTATGGATTTTTACAGTAAGTTGAAAATTATTATTCTATACACACATAAATATATATATTCAGGGGGAAATAGTACAAACAAGTTAGTCTTAAACCCCTATTCTTAAATTTTATAAATGCTTTAAAAACATTGCATTTCTATAATTCTTGTTAAATTCCTTCTGTTTATGATTTATTTATTAGTGGTTACTTAGGAACAAAAAAATAGTAAAGCTTACAACTAATTGTATTCTTTTTTTCTTCTGTGTTTGAAGATACTTAGCTAACAGTTATTTGCAGTTGTTATTAAACATAAAACTATTTCATTAAAATGTAATTAGGGTGATATTGGCTCATTAGGCTTATTAGATGGTTGGACCTTTGGAAATAAATAACTTTAAAAATATTTAGTTTTTATTTTCTTGGAAAAATTTTGAGCAAACAATTTTTTTTTCTTCTTCTTCTTCCAAGCCAGAAACAAACCTGTTGGTTAATAACAAACTGCTGGAGAATGCCTTCCAAAAGTCAAATTTCTTTATTTTATCACCTTAGCATTTTTTTGCATTTTATTAGAAAGTCAGGTTTGTTACTCTGGTGGCTTTATATAATTTGTACTATTTAGTCTTGATATATATCTATATATTTGTCTTTTTATTATTATTTTTTATTCTATATACAAGTCTTTTGGTGGTTTTTAAGTATTTTCTTGTTCATCTTATAAATTATTAAACTAAAACCAGAAGTTGAGATTGTGAATGAGGAGTGTGTTAAATTGATGCATTTTAAAGATTGTTTTTACTGAAAAATTACATCTAGGTTGTGCAAGTAAGTGATATGTGTGAAAGTTTACCTTTGTTTAAAGAAGGTGGATAGATTTCTAGAATAAGCAATGACCAATTTTTTTTATAGTGATACTCACCTTCCAGAACGACTCACAGCACATGAAACAAAGGTATAGTGCTGTTGGTTTATTTATTAAATAAATATTGACAGCATGCTGCTTTTTTAAATTGTGTTTTATGAAAAGTGTTTTTACTTAACTCTCTCAATATGGGCTCGGTCAATTTGACTGACCATGTGACCTCTTTATACTCATTTAAAGTCCTTATAGAGTTGGTACTATTAACTTTTAGTATAGTGTATATCTTCACGAAATTTGGCAGTCTTTCAGTAAATATTACAAGTCTTTCACATATAAAAAGTTACATTTTTTAGTGAAATATTTTTAATAAACTAAAAAAAGGTTTGTCCATGAATATATAGAGTATTTCAGCATTAATTGTGAATAGTCCTTGTGCAAAATGATTCTCATGTTAAGATTAAAAATACTTTTCTTCATCTCAGATGTCATTTGTATAATCTCTTAAAATCTCCTCAATATATTTCAAATGCTTGTTTTCAGTAAAACTTTATATTTTATCTGTTATTTTCTCTACCCTAACTCTACATAAGGTTGTCGAAATAAATCTAAATTTCCCTCTTTTTCTTTATAGAATGACTTCAAATTGTAATGTGAAACTACATTCATTTATCTTAAGTAACTTTAAACTTGTAACAGTATGCATCTTTTTATATTTAAATTTTATTGTTTTATTGCCCTTTGAACTGTGTCTGACTACTTTTCATGCCATTATATGTGGTAAATCACATGGAGGTCATGTTACGCTATCAAATTTTGTTACCCATGAGCTGCTTGCATGCATGCCTCATGAAACATTTTTATTATTTATTTTACCTAATCTAACCTTAATTATCCTAAATAAAACCCTATTTTTACATTATAACTACTTTTATAATAATAAATATAGAATAAACATGAAAAACAAGAAATATGGTACTTACCCGTGTCTTCTTCTTTTCTTTCTCTTTTTTTTCTTTTTTTAATTAAGGTTGTAATGCATAAAATGACTTTTATTTAATTAGATAATGCATCAAAGAACATAAAATGATAACATGCAAAAAGCAGACAATTTCCCCTAACTATTACAATTTTTCTTGCTTTCTAACTATGCAACAAGAGCCGTTAGAAATTCATCCAAACTAGTCGTTATCTTTCCTATGAGAAGAAAGCTTGTATTAAAAGAGAAATTAACAATTCTATGTTAATAGAATATAAAATAGAATAACATAATATAATACATCATCTGATAGATGAAAACCTTGGCTTTCTATTGGTTACAGATAATATAGAATTAAATCCTGAATAAGAGGATGTGGCAAAAGGGTCTGATTTTCTATTTGATGGCTCTGTAACCAAACAAAATTGGATTGTCTGAGCAATGACAATTTTATAGTGAGTAATTTACATTAAATTTTGTAATATAGAGAAGATGGAATGAATAAAGAAAATGTCACCTTTCTCACACTAGGGGTAATTCAGGATTTTTTTAAATATTGACTTATAAAATTAAGAACTTAAAACTTGTAAACTATTAAAATATTATTAGCTACGATTTTATGCCTAGGCAGATAGGGTTAATAAATTGATACCATAAAAGTTATTTGGTCCTTTTTTTTTACATTGTTTCTTAAAATTAAAGCATGTTTTTGGTCATATGAAACAATCCTGCAATATTGAACATGATACCCAAGTTTAGATGGTGGCTTACAATGTATAGTATTTATTTTGATGTTCAAATTTTAGAAATAATCATTCTAATAACAAAACAAACAAAAACATAATTACAACCTTAACCTCTTCAATACAGGTTGGGATCAAAGCACACGTCATCATGTTTTTGTAGACTTACATTCAAAATGTTTTTAAACTACTATTTTTTTAATGCATGTCCATTAATTTTGAATTGCATTGTACTTTGTAATTCAGATTTTAGTATTATACATTTAATTTCTTAGTTCAAAAGTAAATATTAAAAACCAATAGCTAAATATCCATTATTTTTTCTTTGTGTCACATGGTACATCGTCTTCTGCATATGCTCAGATTATATTGTGGGCATCATAAAATATAAAGTTTGCAGTTTTTAATGAATTAGAAACTCGAACTACTAATGTTGTCAAGCTAGAAGATAAAATAAGAACCTCCTACCTTTTCTATTTGCTGAGATATCATTTATTTAGCAAAGTAACCACAGTGGCTCTGCTCGTTTCTCTCAGTTACACATTTATAACCAATCGAAAGCACACACTTAGAACTACCTAACTCTGTCAATTCTCCTAAAGTATTTACACAGGTAAAGCTGTCATTACCGTTGCAGAGTTTGAAGAGTGGTGATCAAGACAATGTGCTCATCAGATTTGAGATATTTTAGACCCAAATGCAGCTTAGTTAGAAAGCCTAATAAATTACAGTGGAATTTTGTGCTATTGGTATAGTAATTTATTATTTTTTGCTATTTTAAAATTCATATATATATATATAATACCCACAAAATATTTTTTTTTACATCCTTCATGTGCGAAATTCAATAAGGCTTGGCAAATAGGAAGCACAAGTAAAAAAAAACAAAACATTTCAAAGCATCATAAGTAGTAGAATCTTTGTTTTCTATGTACTTTTTAATTACTGTTTCCATGTTTTGAGAAAACTGGAATTTATTTGTAAATAGTAATAATATATATA